TATTTCAGACATGTCAGAAGCCTTTGTAACAAATGCTACAAAAAGATCTCAAGAAGATATAACAGTTGTGGAGTCATTAAAGAAGGTGACTGATTACAAAGGTTTCTTGGCTCACTTTCCATTTTCAGATAAATATTATGTATTCATTAATATTATGTCAATAATCAAATGTTCACTTTGTCTGGTTTTGTTGCAGTATGCCCCATATGAGGTCATGATATTTCAATAATCAGGTCCAACGGTAACCAGTACTTTTGAGTAGTGTTTTATTTCTTCAGTAACAACTAATTTCTGTAAATTTTATCAGTCCTTTCTCCATTTTTCATATTGTTGCTTCGATTCTTGCATGTAGAACTTTCCATCGTTTCCACCAAATTAATATGAGTCAATATTTTATAATTATGCTCAAGCTATAATATAATTATTTACGTAACCAAGATAACAATTGTTGCCTTGTATGAATGTCCACACAACCATAACAACTTTGAATTTATTCTCAATTGTATTACTACAGTTTTTTGTTTACGCGTCTATAATATTTTGTTTGACCATATTGCTAAAGATTTCCGATAAGATTAAGAGGCCTGGCGGGCTAGTTTTAAAACGGTTTTGGAACATTCTTTGTAATATGAGAGTGTCATTGTTCTGTTAAAGCAGCATTTGCTCGCTAACAGTTTTCTACTTTCTGGACCCACTGTTCTAGTATTTAACAGCATCCATAATGTGGGGCATGCTGCAACAAAACCAGACAATTATGTGAGGCTTATTGTGATGTGGTTGTAAAAGTGACTAATGGTGCTCATTCATAACTTATGGTTTGTTAATTTTATTGTTCACTTTACTTTATCATACCAGAATGTGATGAATATAATAACAGGGTTACTATAGAATTATGTCTATAAAAAAATATAATATAAAACTAATTTACATTAAATTTACTATTACAGCACTATTACTATTAGAAGCATCCTAAAAAAAGCTCAATGAGAGAAAATTACACCTTATATTTTAAAATCAATGATGCCAAACTCTTCAGGAATATCTAGATGAGGAAAAAATCACTTATAAATTTATCAAAAGGAACGGAAAATTATAACTACTAAACGAACATTAACATCAACACATGATGAACCAAAAAGGAAGCAAAAACTTGAAAAAATGTAAGGAAAATAAATTTAGCGTAAAAGCTCCCACCAACGCCTCCACTGATCGAACGACTGTTAACAAAATATTGATAAGACTGCTCGATCAAATTTCGCTACTTTGACACAATTGCAATCAAAAAGTCAAACACGTAAAAATAATTCAATTTTTAATATGCGTAAATGTTATTATTTTGATTATTAAATGCGCGCTCTTGAAAATATAAACAGTATTAAATAATTGCATGGGAGGAAAATACTCGGACCCGAAGCCATTTATGAGTATAACCTATTCTTTGGTCACTCTGGTGCAAATTTAATAATATTATCACTACCATCTATATTTCTTTATCTTTATGGTTTACATTTGTCGATCCAACATCGAATTGTCATAATAGACATTCCTAACGGCCAGCACCAAACATCTGACGCAGAACGTAATGGCCATACGCCAGTAGGATGTGCATGACCGGTAACATGGAATGAAACATGGAATGAAACATGGAATGAAATAATGTACTTCTCTAGAAAATTGCTTGAATAGGAATGCGACTTTTTGAGTATGGAACGCCTAGACGTGAGTTGTAGAAGAGTCTCTTTGACAACAAAATCAACGAAATACTAATACGCGTTTTCGTGTTCGCGACGGATTTTTTGAATGACGAAGATTGGAAAGTCGTCAGCGTCGCGGGGTTGTTTATCAGTAATGGCATATATTTTGAATTGGATATCGGTGTACTTACAAAATTGTGAAGCAGAGCGACACCAAAGTGTTTGCCGGAATCAATGAGGCACGAAAACTATTTGGCGACTTTTTGCGACGCAAGACGCATCCAACGATATGCACGCTCGTGATTTTGCATTTACAGTCAACCCTCTACAGTGCCCTGACAAAAGTGAGTGATCACCACGAAATTTTGCGGATCAAACGTTAAAAGTTGTTCATATATAAAGTAAATATTTTACTAATACACTCGGCCATAATGCAATAAGTAAACTTATTTACAGTATCTATGTGCATATATTTTGTAAGTTTCACTAACTTTGTATAAATATTGAGCGAAAATTAATGACTTACGTCGAGGGTAAAGATTTTTGATAATCTATGTTAAAACAGTAGTTATAATGATATTTTCAGAAATTAATTGTAATGTGTCTTTGCATTCTTAAGTAAAAAGCTTTACCATATTTTAAAAATTATAAATATAAATTTTCAGATAATTTGGTTGAGATTTCATTGAATACTAATCCCAAAAGTAGAATTTTCTAAAATTCGAACCTTTGTAATTATATATCGTTAGTAGTTTGCTAGAATTCAGTCATATTTCACAAGAAGACGCGCGTTGTTATTTTAATAATTTTTATTAGTACGCGTTGGTTTACTGACAAACGGGGTAAAAAGTTTTTATATAAGCAACTGGTTGAGATGCAATTATCTGATACTAAATTTTGTACAACCTCGCCTTATACTTGCAAATATTAATAAAATTTGGATATCGTTTTATAATTTAACTTTTTATTCAATGAAATCTAAACCAAATTGTCTGAAATTTTATAAGTTTTAAAATATGGTGAATCTTTTTACTTAAGAATGCAAAGACACATTGCAATTAACTTCTGAAAATAGCATTATAACTACCGTTTTAACATAGGTTATCGAAAATCTTTACCTTCGACGTAAGCCATTATTTTCGCTCAATATTTATACGAAGTTAGTGCAACTTACAAAATATATGCACATAGATACTGTGAATAAGTTTACTTATTGCATCATGGCCGAGTGTGTTAGTAAAATGTTTACTTCATATATGAACAACTTTTAACGCAAAATTTCGTGGTGATCACTCACTTTTGTTAGGGCACTGTACATTAGTATATGCACACCCTCTCTATATGCACGCCGTGATTGTATGTGTAATTTTATACAACAAAAACCAAACCAATTTATACTGATAATGAATAACTTTATCAGTTTTTGTTTGTTTCTACTACTATTAAATTTTTTATATAATATAGGAATTAAATCATGACATTCAAAAAAATGATATAAATACAATAGTAATAGAAATAGATGAAGCAAAAGAATATTCCAATTATTATGGTGGTAATTAAAATGGATCTGAGGAGAAAAAACTGCTAAAGCCAAAACAAAAAATACAGTACTAATAATGAATTAATCTCATCAAATAATTTGTCATTCCCGCGAATTGGGTAAAGTAAAAACAATCGATAGTAATAGAAATTAAAATGGCATAATTTGGTCACATGACTAATATATGTAACATAGAAAGGGTCTGTATTTCGCAACCTCTACTCGTGGCAATCAACTAATAAGGAAGACAGACAGGTAAGACAGACAGGGAAGACAAACAGGGAAGATCATGAAAACGTAAATAAATATTTAATGACAATGGTATTTTCAATTAATGATTTAGGTCCTAACATACGATGACTAGGAGCTTCTTTGTTGTACATTTCGCTTCCCTGTCCAACCCCGAACTGCCGATTTGATGATTTTGGTCAGGTGTATTATAACAATGATGCACTGCTAGAAAGGACTACCAATAATATCCTGATAATACAAATGAGTGCGCCAACGATTCTTGAACTAACCAAATTTCCACATTGTACAATTTAATAAAGGGACAGACTCATTTTTTCTTGAGTAAGATTGTCGTCACATATTGTACGTTGTTTTCCAAATTCCTTTCGAACGGCGTAAAACTCATGGCTTAAGATTGTCATACCCGTGGGCCGTACGGAAAAATTTTTATTTTTTTTTTCTTCACGTTTTGTCGTGGGCGTCAGATTGGGCTTGGTGATTCGTGAAATAGCCTAATACCCAGCTGATTATGCATGAGCCGAATGTCACAATGCATAAGATAAACGCACTGACAGAATATTGACCCAATGGTGTAATTTCATACAATAATATTCATACAATAATATTGATACAACAATCTGCGCAACAATCAATGGATGACAAGATGCTGAATATCAGCATGCTTTGCATTCATCGACTTGTATCAACTTAAAATGTCAGGATCAACACGCACACCCCAATTTGACATCAAGTGCATCGGCAAAGCAAGATACGGTTTGATGCGTATGGCGAGGGATTGATGACAATCGAGTGTGTGTAGACGAATAACTCTTGGTCGATAATTACTATACTTTTATAAATAATTCCTTTTTAAATTTCATACAATGCGTAGCGACGATATTCTGTACCCGTGTTGCATTCAAAGGCCAACTATTACTTATTACTATATCCGATTATTCGACTAAGGAAAGGGATTAAATGTATGTAACAAAGAAGAAAAAAAAGTACAAGCCAAGTCATCTCGCCCGTAAAAGAACACCCTACGTACGTATACTTTTGTCATCAATTATATATATTGTGTGTATATATATTTATTGATTACAGCATGTCAATAATCAACGACGTCCATCGTTAGAGCCACCAGCTTGAGCTGAAGGTCTAAACCTTGCTCCCCCATTCTGGTAAAATTTGTTACTAGTTTCCTGCCCAGCAACGCCTGACACAAACTTGTACATCATCGACTTTAACCACTCTTCCCACTCTTTCTGCGGAGTTTTCGTAGATCCAGAATTAGAATTCCTTTGTTGATCGTTCAAATGTGCGCTCTTGCTGGCAGCGTCTGTATTGGAATTGAATTCTGTCCACGGTTGGTCAAAATATTTTTTAGCTAATCCTTCCCAGTCTTCCCCCATCATAGATAGTCTCTCGCGTACTCCATGTTTCACTCGAGCCCATACTCGAGAAGTGCGTACGAGTTTTTTAGTATCATCGTAGAACGTTAGAATGTATGATGCGCAAAAGATAATCCATAAAGTTGTTATACAGATGGTGTAGACGGCAATGAGTGCTGCTGTCTGTATAGTCGTAGAAGAGAACACTTTGGGAGAAATGTTTAGTTGGCCGAGTATGGAGAACACATTTCGGCGTGTGCCATTAGCTCGCGCTGTCCGACTCGAACCTGTAATGTCTTGTCGTTTGGACGGTGCGGCCAAATGCTTGGACGAAGGACAGTCTGGAAAGCTATCAGGTTCGTCGTCAATATCTATGTCGTCGTCATACGAGTTGTGAGAAGGCGGTGGCGGCGAAGAGCCCGTCCGTGGTGCCATTTGTATAGGAATGTTCGAATTTTATATATGCCTCTGAGCCTGATATGTCAAAGAATATTGTAGAGTCTTGATAGTGTTGCAAATTTATTATCACTGTTGGGTTAAGAGTGGCATATCATTCTATGGTAAGCAAGATGGGTTTCATTGAACAGTGCTCTTTATACAAACCTAAACTGCATATGAACTAACCTTTTTCTATTTTCGTAATTCTTCGTTATTTCGATTTTCGTAAATTGCGAGTATCAACCAAATGGTAGGTAGAATGTTATGGAGGTTAAATAAAAACCTGGACGAGTTTAAAAAAGATTGCTTAAGGGGGAGGGGGGTATGAATAGGAGAGGCTGGCAATTGGGCAGGAGGAACGGATTTGTAGAATAGATTGTTTGTGATGGGCTTTGGATTGTGTAATAAAATCACAAGTCTATAACTCATTTAGGAATAGCATGGGGTACAGGGAAGTTGCGCAAAGTTGATATTCAACAGATTTCGAGCATAAATGGAAACTGGAATACATTTATTAATAATGCATTAGTGTTGCAATGAGTGGCTTAGTATTACGGATTTAAAGTAACGTCACCGAAAAAAATTTTTACATAAATATATAACAGGGGTAAGCCAAAGCGGAATAGGTCGCGACCCGATCTTGTAACTTTATTGGCCAGCATTGCAAACTTGACCAATATCATTGCTCCGCTAAAAATCATAACTCCTAATACAGTGTGTCGACTTACTTGTTTACGGTTGGTATCAAATATGTCAATGTCTTTCCGGAATCAGTTTTAGTAGCACACGTAATATGTTTTTCATCATTGAATTTCAGGTTTTCACATGACAGAAACACCATAATTTCAAAGTAAACCCCCCGTTTCTCTGTTAATTCTGTGCAGCAAATAGTCTTACTTGAGCTAGTACTTTCTATTCTTCATACCTCTTGTCAATTTCTCACATCGCTTTTTATAGGCAACAATAACTAAATCTGCTAGAGTATGCGCAGTAGCTTGGCAAACCGCGTTATTATTATGAATTCCGGATATGTTGCAAAGATCCGTGTATCTTTGTGTAACATCTACTGATAGTAATAGTGCAGGTAACTATCATCATACGTACCACGTGTTTTGAATAAAATGTATATTTACACTATGTGATAGGCATTATTTAGTGTATTACATGTAATTAAAACAGCTTACGATAAAGTGACAGGACGAAAATTGCTTATAACATAATATAATGCTGACTATAAACATTTGACGTCTTGCTATACAAATTTCGACGCGTTTGTTTAAGACCGTCTACGTCATTACATTCATCCCTGCTGCTTCTACCGAAAAAGTTTAATTTATAATCGTAACGACAAAGTAAAAGTTAATGCGTAATGGTAATCTTTTATGTTTATAGGACATGTGAAACAAATACTTATGTTATTAAGAACATTACAAACAACACCTTGTAACAACAACAGCAGCAGCAGCAAGAAAATGACAAAGAAGATAAATTCTAATTACGCGTTTAATGAGGCATTAAATAGAGTCAAAAATAAGCTCACAACTTGCATTGGCTTCTCAGTTTTAAATAATAAACATTTCCAATTTATTATTATTTTCCCGATGACTAATATTTATCATTACTATTTTTGGATGCTTTGCACGTTTTTAAGTCATCAATATTCAATTAGACAATATGTGCACTAACTATAAGGTTTTTTTTTCTCTTATAACGTGCAAAAGTATATTAACATCCTATTGTCCAAACGTACATAACAATGACCCTTGGGTTTTGTATTAAAGACTGAACAAATGCCTGATCATACACTTTGCAAATTTTGACCTTATTGAAGAGGGTCAGACAAATTTTCCTTCAAAAAATGAGGTCTCTTTTTGTAAATGACCTCTCTGCGTAGACATTCGGCTGGGCCAAGTGGAATTTTCGAAAATAACTAAGTATTGTTCATTGTAGTAAGTCGTACAGTCATTTATTGGGCGAATAAGTACCACTTTATGGTCATTTTTTTTGCTTGAAGTTGGTAAATTGGTATGCTCCCGGAGAAACCTGGATGCAAATTTTACGTGCAATATTTATGAGCAGAATTACTAACTTTTATCGCATATTCGAGCTTCCTGACGAGAGTGACAGGTTATTTTTTGCGGAAGATAAGGATTTCAGCCATTGCTCGAACATTGCAAAAAAACGTAAGGAGGAAATAATGTCAAGGTACTTCCTCAACATTGATTATCAAAGCGAAAGCTTTTAACCAAGAAATCAACCCTGACTTGTCCGAATAAAAATCTGATCTAAAAATGTGGGATATTCAATATACATACATAATAAATTAGTTAAAAAGTGAAAAAAAAAAAGTTCTAAAAATGAGATTATTTTTTCTCCGAGTTATAGCGGCAAAACTGATAGACAGTGTCGTGTGATTGCATTTATAGACGCGAAGTGCCCATACAATATATTAAACGATATTTAGTTACGTATAAAATTTAATTTTACATTATCTGTAGACGTAATTACAGTAAGTAAGATGCTTATGATCGCTATTCATACTTTCAATGATGCGATAACTTTGGATCCTTGTATTTCCTTACATGCAAATAGTCTTAGTATTATGAATCTTCAAACGTACTTAAGGATAATGTTGAGAAATCGTAAATCTGCTACTTAGAAGTTGGGAGCTTTTTTGATGACCCACATTACACATTCAATCCAGCTAATACTTGCTCATTGATTTCTGCTCTATGTTTAACTATAAATAAAGCATGAAAATTGCAGAAATTAGGTTACTGAAAGTTATTGTATTAATCAACTAGTAATGTAAAACTGCTAGCTTGAGTTGCGTAGAGAATTTTGAAGCAGAGCATAAAATTAATTTTGTGCTTTCTGTAAATTACAGGTCGCTCATACGTTATTTTCTTAAATACAGTTTTTGTGCAGTCGCTATTAATCAGAACCGTTGCCTACAAAAAATAAAAAATAAAAATAAAAAACACAAACCCTATTAGAATAGCGCACATACTAATTTCGATGTTGGCAATTTTCTGTTTTGTGTTGATTGTTGTTCTTTATGCAATGAAATGAGCCCTCATACGTTTCCCCAAAGACAATGTTGTATGTTCAGATCAGAATTTATGCTTGTTCGAAATAGCACAGAGAACAATATATAACATACTTTGATATGATGATATTAGTTCGGCTGCAATTAATTTAAAAATTATTTGCTTGACCATTGATTCGAAACGTCTCCGAATTTGATTATCCCACATTTGTCCTTTACAATATATTGTTGCAAGCTTGAAAAGTTGGTTTCATAATAACACTTGGCCTTCTCAACAAATGTGTGTATCAAATCATGTCTAGTTGTATATGTAAAAGACAAAATGTTCTCAAAGGCCATAACCATTGAAAAATTAATGCTTCGACATTGTCTTCTATGCGGAGCTACAGAGGGGAAATTTGATGAATTAGGGGTGGAGGATAAAGATTTTAATACTTATTATCTAATTGTTAACAACGATAATCAAGAGAAAGTAGGCTGAAATGAGCTAGTTAATAATTGAAAGAATATAAAAAAAGTTGAAATAGATTTAATTATGAGCAGACTAAAGAATGAATAAATGGCGGTAATCAGAAAAAATTTTATAAATCTCGTCTGCTTTTAATATGTTAGTCGACCAACCAGACATCCTCGAGCAAGGCCAAATTGTCGTGGCTGGGCTACGCCAATACCAATAGAATAGCAATGGTGAGTCTTCCGCCATACCATAAAAATGACAAGTCGAAACGAAATTCGTGTTGGCAAATTTTACATCACTTTTTTAGCTTTAACATAACTCGTCCATTTCCCCGACAATTATTTTCCGACGATTCCTGCTGAAGTTACCTTTTGAACAATAAACTGTCGGGGAAGTAATTGCCAGAAAGTGAGCTGTCTGGGAAGTGATTGTCAAAGAAATGAACCAGACCCATCGGAACTCATCTCAAAAGATACAGTGCGTGAAAAGTGTTTTCGGAATAAAAGCAGACTTTTTCTTCGAAATACGCGTCTAATCAAAAAGACATCCCAACACAGTTTGTACGTTCTAATTTTATAAATGTAGCGGTCCGACAAAAGCTCGGTTCTATAATTTGTGTTCACACAGTTTGTCTAATTTTTGTGTCGTTACTAAAAAATAATGACATGCTCATGATTGACCAACTTACGCCAGACCATAATCACTTTGTAAGCAACTGGTACTCAAATGCCTACGCTTTACATATTTAATTTTTATTTCGCTGTCTACCGTATGTGATATTAAAATGAAAAAAATAACAACATTTGTGTTAATTTGATTTACAGCAGAACCCATCAAAACTGATTAAAATAGCGAAATTGGCTTAAGATAAGTCATTCAATAGCAATAATTGTACAATTTTATGTTTATCTAATCAGTTCTCGCTGCATAATCAACAATAACGTTATTTCAAAAATTTATTTTGCGTGCTATATTTAATAAAGAATACGCGTATATCGAGAGAATGCAACAGCCAATCAATATGATATCGGTGCAAAATTTAAGTTGTGGATAACGGTTTTTAGTTATTTACCAATAAACATTTTTCTAATACGTTTGTTTATTTACTTATTAGGGTTTTGTATTTCTATTTACAACTGAAATTGAACTTCTTTTGTCTATGGAAGAATAGCTGACCTGCTATGTGTATATATGCTCGTCTTTGGAAGGAAAATATAAAAAGACAAGAAACACTTCAAGACCGATTACTAGGACGTCAACCCTTGTCTTTATATTATTACAACTATTGAATAAGTGGCATTTTTTCTAGGGATAATTTATAAAGTGGGTTGAAGTTTACATCGGCTTTGGCAGGGGATGAACTTGCTCTCAACTATAGCATAACTGTAAAATTGCAGTTGATACTTGCATCGTCTATATGTCTATTACTATTTTTATAATGCCCATTTATCTTATTGTAAAATCTAACTTTAAAAAAACAAAAAGTTGTATATTTTCCTCAGACTAACGCAGATACAAACAAGACTCAATTTATATTTGATGCCACATGGTATAAGGCGTTGTATGTAATGCAAGAGACTCACAATCGTAGCCTCTATTAATCACTATCAACGGTTTCCTTCGCGAATAAAGCCCTGTAGTGTCGATGTTTAGTGATGAATTCATTGACTAGCCAACTTTATAATAATATTCAAAGTATTTATTCCCAACTATTTCTCTAATATTGTACATAGCTACCAAAATATCTTTTTAGAGAATAATTCTTTTAGACGAATGATTTCATTATTGCTATTCTATGAATTAGAATGATTTTATGTTGATTATTTATTTCATGATTCGGGTTCCGTAGTACTCTTGTCGCAGACTTACAGTGGGTTCACGTCTCGAACATATATGAGGCAATAGGTATAGTCTCCGTGGCCGTTCTATACTATTCCTAAGAAATATAAGTTGATACAATTAAATAATCGCTACTCTTAATGGCCGTTATGGAATTAATTACATCGCCGTTTCACCATACAGTTAATATATCAAGGTCAGACAGATAACGGGCGAAGAAACGCCGTTTATACATAAAATATTTAATATCTGTTATATATTATGTCGTAAATAATATCTCGTTAGTGAAGTTAGTTTCTGTTGCCACCTATTATTTTTCTCTCCACTGTAATGCTTTTATTGGATTTTCATCAAGAGTATTCGCATTTCGCTTCGTGTCTTTATCAAACTCTATGACTCCGATACTCCACTAATATTAATACCTTCCCCTCATTACCCGAAATAATATTTTAACTCAAGAACGGTAAATTCACAAAAGATTCGGATTCACAATAACTTTTGTTGTATTGAACCTTCAAACGAGTATATTAAACTCTCCGTGTTATACCTCGTCTATACTACGAACGCCTTTTTGTTGTATTAAACATAAGGCCTTATAATCGCTGTCATTCTAAACCGAATACTCTCGCTTCCCTTATCATTATTAGTCGTCAAGACATTATCGATACGCGAATACTCGGCTGCTTGCTTATTAATCGGTGAAGAGCTTACATGCGAAGTGTCTATCCAGGGAATAATAATACAGTCGAAAGAACCCTCTACAAAGAACAGCCACTCATAAAAACATGATTGGATGCGATTATTAGTAACATGTCCTATTACTATAAAGAACAATATATAAAGGAACAAGAACATTAATGTTGTAATAGTAATTACATATGAGAACACTGCATGTTGATTGGCTGGCAAATTTTTATTTATACCGTAGACCACAGAATATACTGTCGTGCCGAGATACTGTGTAAATAATATTAGCCAATCCACAGGTGATCAAAATGATGACTCATAATATTAACTTCATAAAGCAATACAAACCGGAGAATAGCATGATGTATAGACCATTCAGACGTCCGCCAAGTAGAAAATCGTGCGACCTATGTACACCTGGCCAAGACATAAATTACATTGAGAGTTACTCATAAGATAGAAATTTTATTACAATTTGTATGGACGATTTGTGGAACAGACAATAACAAGGTGATGAAATTTTTGAAACTTGGCCTGAGCGAATCCAACAATATGACGAGCGCGATCAAGTAGATGGGTGTAATTCATTGACTAACGACCGCGTTTACTATTTAGAACGCTATTTATTGTAACTTGGTTAACGCTTCGCTCTTGTAAACGCACAATTAAGCTTTACGATCACTCTTCTGACTGCATTTTCTTTGTAGTTCCTCTGTTTCAGCTTCATGCTGATAAAATTCTCTCAAAATTCTCTCATTATGTGGGACGTTCAATAAGTTTTGCCGCGGGCCCTGCATTTTACAGGCTGACAATCTTCAAAATGGAGAGCTATATTGTCGTAAATAACTTATGCTGATTCACTAAGGTTTTCATTGCAATCTCGGTATAAAGAGAACCTCCGGTTATACTGGTTATACCGTCAAGGTGCCACTCGTGTTCATGCGTCTCTTGTGTGTCATCCTACCTATTTAGTAACATGTATTTTGCCAAACTAGCAATAGACGGTAGAGGAAGTACCATGTTTAGTATACAAGGCCATTATTATTATTAGAATGGAATTGTCTTTAGCATATTAAATAGAAAAGAAAATTGCTATTTTTTCTAGATTTTGTAATTTAAACGTCACCAAATCTGGTAAGGGATTGTTCCTAATTTTCGTTACATAAATTGGATACCCAAGTCAATTTGGAAGGGACGGATTAGTCTTATTACTACTACTAACATACTATCCATGTGATTTTAGAGCATCCCAAATTGGGATTCGTAAAAATTTGTCCCGATATGGGTACACTATAACCACATATCACGTCACTGCACGATCTGGATGGGTAGTCATGATACGCAGCATATCAGTTCTGACAGGTTCGGAATTGCCGAACATGCATAACATGTTACGCATGTTACACATAATGTCAAAGACATCAAGGCTTATGCAGAAAGTTCTGATGAGAAACGGACGATCGTGCAATTTCGCAGGCAGGTTTTCTGCGCCCCAACGCTGCGGGAATTTTCGAATGCCAAGAAATGCGTAGTAATCGCATTATGACAGGTCTTTTCTTGGTGCAAAACAGCAATCGCTTTGTCCGTTTATGGCTAACGATAACCCGAATTGTACAGAGTTTATCCGTCCGCGGGTTGATAATACCCCATTTGTACAGGTAGTGTTTGTTTCATTTCGAGAATTGAGATAATAATAATGAAATGCACAGACTGTCAATATATTAGAGACGAGAATAAACTTCGAAATATCGCAAATCAGAGGTTATTAAGTTACATACTCCTTGCATATATAACAGAATCTTTCATATGACATTCACATACAAATATACCGACAATAAACGAAATTTTCGAGTCAATTTCCGCAGCAGTTTTATTTTATGCATATCCAACTGACAAAGAAACTTACCACGTTGTAAAAAGATCACACTGTATTACAAAAAGTTTACTTGTTTGTTTATATTTAAGAGATTGAATTCTATTCGATCTGTACCAGGCTACTCAGATTAAATTCCACGATAATGTTCTCTGCTGAGTAGCAGCGACAATAGTTCTTATTTGCATATTTCGTGTTAAATCTCGCAACTTTGCGCGGTTAACTTATATAAGTTCTTTTCAATAATAATATAATAATAAATTATTACTATTTCAATATACGTTCTAAAAGTTACCTGGTTGAAATAGAATTATGTCATCTCAGAGAGAAGAAATTATAGAAGAGTATGTTGAAGAAGTCGTTGAGGAGGTAGTCTTTGAGGATAAGATTGTTGAGAAGAAGGCTGAGGAAAAGGCCGTTGAGGAAAAAATTGAAGAGAAGATTGTTGAAGAAAACGTCACTGAGGAAAAGGTCTCCGAGGGAAAGATTTTTGAGGAAAAGGTTGTTGAGAAAAAAGAGTCCAACGAGAAAGAGAGTAATGGGGATGAAGAAAAGGTTGTAGCAGAAGAAATTATTCGAAAAAAGAGCGCTGAAGAAAAGGCAACCGCCGAGGAGAAAAGCGACACGTCCGGAGAGACAACAGTAGACCAATTACTAAAACCGTCAGTCCCAAAGCAAGAGATCGACTACTCACTGGTAGATGAACCGCCGGCCAAATTGAAGGAAGAGGAAAGGAAATATGTTGAAACGGATGCCAAACCAAAAATTTCATTCATTGATCTATATAGATTCGCCTCGCCTCTAGACTGTCTACTTATCTTCCTGGGAACAATAGGAGCTGCAGCTAATGGCACAGGTCTGCCACTCATGACGATCGTCTTCGCCGGTATTCTTCAGGCGCTTACTGACTATCAAGCGCATATCACTAGCGCTGATCAGTTGAGCGAGGCAGTCCGCAAGAATGTCATTCTCTTTTTAATACTTGGGTATGTGTTCTCATTTGTATTGGTGTGAGAGAAAAAACATTCGGGATGCTAACTTTTTTAATTGATATCACGTGATAGAGCGTCCATCTTTGTTGTTTCATATCTCCAGATGACTTGTTGGATGACTGCAGGAGAGAACATTACTGGGGTAAGTTGATAAACAGTGATTTATCATTATTTAATAAATGTGATACGTGGGAAGCCAGACTAAAGACAATTCATTTTGCAGCGTCTTCGACAGAAATACTTCTCCGCTGTCTTACGTCAAGACATCGCCTATTTTGATAGTACAATCACAACAGGAGATGTTACATCGCGTATATCATCAGATATCTCCATTTTCCAAGAGGGTATTTCCGAAAAAGTCGGCCTAAGTATCCAATACATTGTCACGTTCATCACCGGTTTTATTATTGGCTACATTAAAGTAAGCGTTTATTATAACAAATCGCTATTGAAGCATAAACGCATCAACCTTATTAATGTAAATAATTCATTCAGGGATGGAGACTCGCCCTTGTACTTACTTCTGTAATCCCACTTCTTGCCATGGGTGCTGCTAGTCTTGGTAAAGCGTTACAATCTTCGACCGCTAAAAGTCAGGATGCATATGCGGAAGCAGGTTCAATTGCAGAACAGACAATCTCTGGGATCAAAACTATAGCATCCTTCGGTGGACAGAACAATGCAATTGAGCGATATACCGAAAAACTTGAAATGGCTTATCGTACTGGCAAAAAGAAGGCTTTCATTAGTGGTGTCGGTCTGGGTTGCATCTTCTTCATTATGTTCTCTGCATATGGGCTTGCTTTCTGGTACGGAAGTAGATTGGTGTTGAAAAAGGAGCAAACAATTGGCCAGGTGTTAAACACATTCTTTGCTTTGATTATTGGCGGTAAGTCGGTCTTTCTAACACCCATATTTCGGAACAAGAAACGCAATGTGAATTCCTGTCCGTTTTGCTAAATTATACCCAATACTTCTAGCATTCTCGATTGGCCAAGCAGCGCCCGGCTTTAGCGCTATAACCAATGGTATGGGGGCAGCGTCTACGTTGTATGCAGTTATCGATCGTGTTCCATCAATCGACTCGTCATCCCCCAACGGCAAGAAGCTTGTCAAATCCGCCCTTAAAGGACGAATCGAATTCAAAAATGTCAATTTTCATTATGCCAGTCGACCCGACGTACCTGTTTTGAAAAATTTCAGTTTAATCGTTGAACCAGGTCAGACTGTAGCACTAGTTGGAAGCTCTGGCAGTGGAAAGAGTACCGTTGTTAGCTTGTTGGAAAGATTCTATGATCCTGTTGACGGATCTGTGTGTTTAGACGGAGAGGATTTGAGAAATATTAATATCCAGTCGCTTAGATCTCGAATTGGTCTTGTTAGCCAAGAACCCGTATTATTTCCAACTACTATTCGAAAGAATATCAAATGGGGTAGTACACCCGGCGAAAAGAAACCTACTATGGAGGAAATTATTGCGGTGTGTAAGAAATCTAATGCTCATGACTTTGTTGAAAAATTGCCTAAGAAGTATGAGACGCTTGTTGGAGAGGGAGGTGCACTGCTCTCTGGCGGACAGAAACAAAGGTATTATGCGAATCATTGTAACATGCTGTTTTGCGTGATGACGTTTTCAACTTACGCCTAACAATTCGTTATATGTGGGCTGTTATTTTCTTGCAGAATCGCGATTGCACGGGCTTTGATTAAGGACCCCACAATCCTCCTTCTAGATGAAGCCACGTCTGCTCTCGATGCTGACACCGAACGCATAGTGCAACAGGCACTTGATGCAGCTGCAGCTGGTCGTACAACTATTGTCGTTGCTCACCGTATTTCTACTATCAAGGATGCTGATAAAATAGTTGTTATGTACAAAGGAGAGATTGTCGAGGTCGGTCGTCATGATGAATTAATAGCTAAACAGGGAAGATATTATCGCCTCGTAAAGGACCAAGAACTCCAAACGCATAAAAAAGATAAAACTGAACTTGAGGAAGAGGAGGAATCTGAAAGCAGCACTGCTGGTGATATTTCCGTTACCATTGAAGAAAAGCCAGCCGCGATTAGACGAATGTCGACAAAAGGTTCTCTTTTCCGAACAAAGACCGACGAAGAAATTATTGCGGAAGAGGCAGAAAGGAAGAAAAAGCTTAAAACACCTTTCAGGAGAATAGCTCAAGTGAACAGGCCTGAACTCGTCTATATAATTCTCGGCGTCATCGGTGCTATGTTCCAAGGCGCACAGATGCCATTATATGCTGTGATATTTACCCACGTCTTGAAAGCTTTTGCACAGACTGACGAAAACAAATTTAAACACGATACTAGTTTCTGGGCGGGAATGTTCGTAGTCCTTGCCAGCGTCTGCTTAATCGGCTGCTCATTACAGATCGGTTTCTTTTCACTGTCTGGTGAAAGACTGACTAAACGATTGCGTCAAATGGCTTTTGTAGCGATTGTCAGACAGGAAATGGCATTCTTCGACGAGGAGAAGCACGGAACGGGTATTTTGACATCAAAACTGGCTGTTGATGCCACTGAAGTACAGGGGTTGGCCGGCTCGTTGATGGGCACAATCATTCAGACTATTACGACTATTACGATTGGTTTAGGGCTTGCGTTTGGATACGGATGGAAGTTAACACTTGTTGTCATAGCAGCAATGCCAATTGCTGGCCTTGCATCGTCTCTTCAGCTGAAGACATTAGCTGGTTTTGGTGCTCGTACTCGGGCGGCCTATGAAGACTCCGGTCAAATAGTTCAACAGGCGGTTTCCAATATTCGTACAATTGCATCTTTGACACGTGAGAACACTTTCAAGTCTGCATATACAAAAGCGCTCGAAGAGCCTCATAAGACTGCAATTAGAGGATTCGCTTTATCAGCAATAGGCTTTGGTGTTGCTCAGGGATTCTTATTCTTCATTTGGTCTCTTGCGTTCTGGTATGGCACGAAACTCGTTGTCAACGGTGAATATACGGTGTTTAATATGATGAATGTATTGTTTGCCGTTATATTTTCGGCTATCGGACTTGGTCAGATCAGCAATTTCGCACCAAATGTTGCCAAAGCAAAGCTCGCTGCTATATCTATCTTTGAACTTGTTGATCGTAAATCAGCCATTGATCCGACCGACAACGAGGGTAAAGACCGTCCAGCGCCTGTTACTGGCGATGCTAAGATAGAGAAAGCACATTTCAGGTATCCGGCTCGACCGGATGTTGAGGTGCTTCGTGGACTTGATATGTCAGCTCTTGCCGGAAAGACTGTTGCTTTATGCGGAAGTTCAGGAAGTGGAAAAAGCACGGTTGTATCGTTACTGTTACGGTTTTATGACGTTAACTCGGGCAAAGTTTCTGTTGAGAATGTAGATATCAAAGACTGGAGTGTCGAGTATCTGCGATCACACATGGCACTCGTCGGTCAAGAACCAGTTTTGTTCGACTTGAGCATTGGCGAGAATATTGCTTTAGCCAAACCTGAATGCACGCAAGAAGAAATTGAAGCTTCAGCTAAATCTGCTAACATCCATAGGTTTATCGAAACTCTGCCTGATAAATACAATACACGTGTTGGTGAAAAAGGTGCACAGCTAAGTGGGGGACAGAAACAACGCGTTGCCATAGCGCGTGCTCTTATTCGAAATCCCAAGCTGCTTCTGCTCGATGAGGCCACATCTGCTCTTGACGGCGAGGCAGAGAAAGTAGTGCAGGCAGCTTTAGATTATGCTTCACAAAATCGAACTACCGTGACTATTGCACACCGATTATCGACCATTCAAAATGCTGATCTTATTCTTGTTGTTAAGGATGGTGTTGTTGTAGAAAGAGGCAAACATCTTGATTTGATTAGCAAAGGAGGTATTTATGCCAAGTTAGTGAGTAAACAGTTGCTTTTATCCAAGACGAACAAAGAGATAGTAATAGTTGATAATTAGATTGTTTTAAAAGGGACAATGTTTGACAAACATATGGGCTCATATAATAGCACATGTAAAAGGAGTCGTTTAATTGTGTTGGAAACAGCATTTGTTAAAAGAAGATACCTATAAAATAGAACTATTTAGCCTTTTCCTTTTAAAATGTGTGTTTTTAATTAATTAAATAATAATGATGTTAAAAATTTTAAAAAGGACCGAAATCGTCTTGTTACCGAAAATAAAATGAACAAGTTTGTAACCTTTCCTAAAGAACTATGCTTAAGGAAATAATTACAATTTAAAAGTTCATATGAGCATAATTCGGTCAGACCTGTAACATAGCTTAACAATAGTCTTTCCGTAACACATGAAGAATTTACGCCTTTTGTGTCGGCTCATTTATTAAAAGGAGTCTTTATCAACAGCCTCGTCACAGAATTTTATTCTCAAGTATAAACGCGGAACTCTAGACCATATTGTTTATTTAAAATCTAGGGTGGTAACTATCTTAAAGGAACTATCTGAAAACCCCGGTTTTCATTATAAACTTTTTGTCCTAACTAATATGAATTCTCACTTATTGTACCCGAAATATTCGGCATATCAAATGTCTACGCGCGCTTGATTCCAGTAACATTAAATGCGAAAATAAATTATTTATTACAGTTAATTCAGTAACAAGAATGTTCCCGCCTCAAAAATGGTTATCCTCTTTGTCTATCATCAAAAATTGGCAAGAATAATTATATTAACTGTTCAGCGATTATTAACGACCAGCCGCAAAAACTGTGAAAATAGAAATGTGAGTGTGAGAAATAAGACGAAACAATCAACGGTCCGACGGAATGGTGCTGCTGCAAACCCGAAGCTGATGCAAAATGAATAATAACGTTCTAATAATTTGAAACAAGTTTTCGGGAACCTATACACACAATCCCCATACTTGTGACTGCGAGAAATATTTTTCGGATTTCTCACGCACAACATTATCTTATTTTTTAGAGACCAGATACTGTCCAAAAATGCAGGACAATTTGCTTTGAACGTCAGTATATAATTTGTGAAGTCTTGCTTCTAACAAAGTACAAATTTTGCTAGCTTCGTGCGAGCAGGATGACCATGCGTCTGACTGCCGGGTAACTTTTGTTTAATTGATAACCATATGTCACGATAAATGTGTTGCATACCTCCTCATAACTAATCATAATCCAGCCATCATTATCCGTATCAAACCGTCTGAACGCGTCTGTGAGCGTCTTTATTGTCACACACGATTGCTAAAAGTAGAGTACGGATGTTAAAACAATATTGAGGGTCATGATGACCAAACGAAACAACCCATGAAATACAACACATTATTATATGGGTTCAAAATCTGTTTATCTCACGTGTAATGCGTATCTCATTCCACTTACCACAAAATTATCAAACGTTACATTGCCCTTTCCTGTCAAATTTTCGGTTGAGCAATTCACATTAGATCAAAACAGTCTTTTAACACCAACATCAACACCATCTTAAGCTGTGAACGTTACCATATTTATCATATTTCTTAATCAATAAATCAATAAAGCTGTCACTTAGATTGTATCCAAATGTTTTAAGTGCTGTTTTTAGTTCATTAAAGTCAATTGTTCCTGAACCATCGGCATCAAAAGTTTGAAAACAACGCTTCCAGTCTTCTATATATTTCTGTATGACAGAATAGATTGAATGTAGTAAACGTATGCGCCACTTTTCTATTCTAGCCATATCGGAATTGACCTGTTCTAAGAGCCTGCCAAGTTATTAATGCCTGCACAACCAACGAAACTCACACAAGAAACCGGTACTATCTCTGAATGGGGTCAATGCCGAGACGGCCAAGAACGTTTGTATTATCCCTTATCGTCATAATTTCTCCTTACGTACCCAAAGACCGGTAAATTCTTTAAACGTAATCGTCCCGTCGTTATCTAGTAATTCAGAACGAAAATCGAGTAATCAATTTATCAACGGATCCTTTGTTCTTCTATAATGCATGTACACTCAATTACCTGTGTCGAACAGATTCATCATTAATCGCACAGTCTCCATATTGAACGGACTCCAGTCACCTAACGAAAAGAAATCAAGGCAAAGCTATTAACGTAATCGGTACACTGTTATCATTAAATGCTGTTCAGCAGTCCATACCATTAAGCAAAGCCCTTTGCAATTCCTCCGTAGTCAAGGTACCACTTTTGTCAGTATCGATTGCCTGAAACCAATGATACAACATTGGATCAACGCCAGCACTAGGCGGAGCAGTTTGCCGACGACCTATCAAACACAAAACAGCCAACACGTCTCTTAACCTGCTACTTGTCAACACTCCGGACTCTTACATCTCACTCCGAACTTACTCTGTTGAGATGATGCCTGTTGATACTGCCACTGCTGTTGCTGCTGCAAATGTGGTGGTGGAGGCGGTGCACCTCCGTAAGAAGGGGGTGGAGGTGCATAACTGTATTGTCGCTGCTGATTATTGTATTGATAAGACATTACTACCGAAATGAAAGACAGAAAATTGAATTCGATCGTTTTACCATATTTATTTAATCACATGACTGTCTTAAACAAAGAACTAGTACTAATACTAAGCACAGATCATCGTGATTGTCGTGACATTACTGTTTTTAGGAGCCCCATTTTCTGTTAAATACGCCAAATGTTGGACAGCTTGTGCGCCACCCGGAATTTTCTGTTGATATTCTAATACACAGCAGAGCCTGATTTAATTTTTAACATAAATTTTTCACTCCGCTTTAAAGGTAAAATCGAAACAGTTAAACTGCGAACTATCCGATAGTGTCAAATTTAATCGTGCGATCCTACAGGTTATTTAAAACTTTCTGTTCGCTTCTTGTGGCACAATTGTAGGCGTAATTGCTATAGATATTATCAGGTGGTTTTTTGCACCAAAAATAGCAGCCTTTCTGCAAAAGATATATCCTCAAAGAAGAAGAGAGGATTCTAGATGAATTTTTAATATTAATATAATTTGCGTCCGATAGATTATTGGTTACCTATTTGTAATTAGGATTACAATCTGTACCAGACGAGACAGCCAGGTGACGCAGCGAATCTAAAAGTGTGTTTTATAAATCAACGATTTATTGTTTTCAAAATTTTTCTTCTAGTGTAAGTCAACGTCATCGTTATGATGTTACCATCTGCAATGCCAATCATTCATTGCACGAGACGTTACGTATACCGATAAAGTATGCTCGAAATAGGAACGATAGAGACATCAAGTCAAGTACGATGTAACATCAACAACCCATTATTATTATTCAATTCTGTTCCGTTCCGTTCCGTTCCAATTTGTGCCGATCCCCGATTGGTGGATTAAAATCACATGATGGAAACAAATGGAAACAGGTGGGAACAGTTCCTATCTGTTCCCATCCTCATCCCACACACGTTTCATTAATAAGCGTAAAAAATAAAAGGTTATGTTGCGCAAAAGGGTTCTAATGGCTTTCAGAAATATATTTTTTTTTGTAAAGAATAACACTTGAAATCTTGGAGTGAAAAGAAAAACAACGGAACGTGGAAACGCGAAATTTATCCTCAATTCTCACGGATTTTGATTGGTTGATACAATTTTGCAACCACCCGAAGCTTCATTTGTAGAATAAGGTATTCTCTATCTAGTATTGATAATGGCGAAAAAGAAGGTTTCGAATGAATATGTATTTTCAATAGCTTTATCAATAGATGCTTTAGATTATCGGATAATTCTTCTTTCAATGAAACGCAAGTAAAACCCGTGCTGGCATTGACATATAGATCCATAGTTGACCGTATTACCTTGGGAGTTTACACATTTGTGATTGCATGTATGCTTGCAATTTATTGACAAGTTCCTGTAAGCTGTACGCGTAGAAATGCAAGCGTGATATTACAATGGTAGTAGACGCATCTCCCACTTCAACTATGTGATGTTTACCATAATGATACATCTTCAGCATCAGACTATAATACTTAATATAACCAATTGATAGAAAGAGCACATACTAGTTCCATTACTATTTGTATCATCATTAAGATATCGGGGTTATTAATATGTGAAGGTTTATTGGCGTCTACGATGACAGTTAACCGGCGTGCTCATCCAATATTTTAATATTCAACCAATAAAATCTTGCGGCACCCAAGAACATATCGCGCGCTTTTTGACGCTTTGTATTATTTTCTCTCAGAATCCAACTATCCACTGGGTATTCATAACAATGACAGATAAACTGGACTTTGATCCTCTCACGCTCATGAGAGACGCATTCCTTGGAAAGAAACAAATACTCCTTCTTAGTAGTGACCAACAACAACTTGATCCAGACAAATCCGACGACTGGAAACGCCTTCACCATCTGTCCATCGATCGACACTCAATACCTAAAGATTACAAAACCTCCTTCAAAAAAGAAAAGTCGGGTCCGGCATACACTATTGCTATATTATATTACACTTACGTAAAACGAAACAATCAATATTCATCTTACCTCAAAGAATGCAGCTCACTTGGCTTCGACAATCCTCTTTCGTACATGGATCGCAAATCATGGCTAGACTTTGTAAACGGAACAGTTACGACGCTTTCCATAACGAAAGAGACATCGCCGCCTTCATCAACGAAAGTCGTGGAAGATAATAAGCAGAAAAAACCAGAAGCAGAATCGTCACTGAAAAATTATAAACGACCTCCATCTTCGCCTACGCACGATCCCGAAGACGAGAATTCAAAAAGACGAAAGATATTTCAAAAGAACCTAAAATATCTCGAAACAGAGATATATCCATATGAAATAACAGATGGCCAATACGAATTTATGCACGCAAACAAACCGATAGCACATCTTGTACTTCCTTTCTTAGAAGAGCTCGCGCAGTCCAAGGGTGCCTCGCAAGTGTTTGTTGGTAGCATAGCAGCAAAACTACAAAAATCCAAGGGCAAGGATCTCTCTCATCGGCCACGCGAACGAACGCATAAATCGTCCCGATCTTATCGTCGTTCTACTGGTCGACCGATTATCATTGTTCCTGCACTTCCGACATCCCTTCTAAACATTTGGAATATTCGACAATTACTAGAAGAAAAACAGTTTATTGATAGTGTTACAGCAAGACAAGAGGCTGTGGAGGACGTTGCACCGGAGAAGATAGGTATAGTGCACGAGGGACGAACATATGAGGTGGTTGATAGGCCGGAACAGTTTGGGCCGGAAGATTGGGATCGGGTGATATGTGTCATTTGTAGCGGACACGAATGGCAATTTAGAAATTGGAAGTGGGAATCGCCAGATGAATTGTTTCAGCACGTTAGGGGTATTTACTTCAAATGGAGCCATGAGGCTTTGAAGGACGAGATAAAGGCCTGGAGAGTTATAACTGTTGATGTAAGTATATTTGGAGAGGTAATCGTAAGAGAGATTGAAAACTACCAAGCGCAATGTGTGGAGAAGAACAAAAGAATGCTCAAGTCAATATCCGTATAGTTAGAGTTTAACCATGTGACAATGTTTATCGTCTACTTACTAGATACATCGCGATGCTAGACACAAGGACTTGGAGGCATACGTAAAATTCTGGAATGCCGTCACATCTTACCTTTAAAAAAAACAACGGTTGCTTCGTTATGAATTAAATGAACACCCCAGTTTGTAATATAATAGAAGTTGCATCATCGAGAACATTTTGAAGACATTCACTTTCGGATCAAACTAGTAATACATATAAAATATCTTTTTCAAGACCCTTTGTTATGTGTGTGCACATACAAGTGTTAATAAATTTATATAACAGGCCAGAATGGCAAGATCTGAAACTCATGCGATGATTTTGGTATTATTATCAATATACAAATAAGTTCAGGTTCAGAATGCAGACTCAACGATTTAACTATAATGTTGTGTGGAAGAGAATATTAATATGTATTATGTATGCGAGTCGCATAGATCACTTGGAAGAAGATCCCACATCTTTATCATTTGCTCAGTGACGACAAATGACTTTCCTGGTAGCCATCCCAAAATTTTCGCATTGCTTTTAATACAAGGCCTTGTTGACTTTAAAATCAATTTTTGATGAAAGTTGTAAAACGGGGCATGCTGCAACAAAACCAGACAAAGTGAACATTATAAAGGGAGGCTATTATGATGTGGCTGTAAAATTGACCAGGGTGACTGATGACATTTTAATTTTGAAAGTAATAATGGTGCTCATTCGTAACTTATGTATTTTCAGTCTCTTTAATTTCAATTTGAGCAATTTGACCATTTTGATGCTCTTTTAAGTGTTGGTTTTCTTCCTTTAACTTAGCGACTTCAGTTTCCAATTCTTTAATCCTTTTCATTTTTTCATTATCATCACTTCATTCTCTTTCAATGTTCAGCTCCTCCTTGGCAGTTTTCAATTCATTTTCAAGTTTCTTGGTTTTATTTGCTAAACAAGATTCAATAGTTTGGGAAGTCCCATCTTCTATGGATGTTCTGAATTTGCCATTTTTTAATAGATTACAATAACAACGATCCTATTTTTTTTGTAGTCTACCACAAAGCTCACAATGTGAGACATTATTGTTTTCAAAATCTTTTTTACAATCAGCACAAATAGAGCCAATATCTGCAGTAGAACCATCTTCATGGTATGCCACCAATTCATGAATAGCATTATCAAGAACTGGTTCATCACTAATCATGCAGTTATTACAATATGGGACAGATAATTTTGTTCTTTCAAGAATTCTATATTCTAATTTCTTCATAACTAATTACTTTGTAAGATATAAGTGTCAAACTTTTGCTTGACATCTTCTTTAATCCAATTAATTTTCTCTTTGAGTTTTTCACTAGCTTTTGTTTTTGCTTTCTTTGTCAATCTCTTAATTATTTGATTTTTATTTTATCTTCTTTCTCATAATCATCTAGTTTCTTTTTCAATTGGTCATTCTCTATTTTTTGTTCAAATCTCTTTTCACATTCTCTACAAAAACTCTTCTATCATGTCATTCTTTGGACTTGTCTAGCGTTTTCAAATTATACTCAACTTCAGTTTCCACTCTTCTAATTCCTTATTTTTTGCTTCAATTCTGTTATCTGACTTTTAGCATCTAATATTCTTCTCCTCCTAAACGGCGAACAGCACCAATATTAATAAGGTCTCATAACATTCATTCAAGCTTAAAACTACTTAAATCAAAGTCTCACTTGGTTTTTTGTTTATCCTCTTCGCTTAACCAACTATTACTTTCTTATATGCTCACCGTCATGGTTGCGCATCACTGTTTCTTTTTTTCATCCTTGAGTAAACCACCGAATTCTCCTTTTTAAATCTTTTTTTAATAGTTCACTTTTCCTACCTTTATCTGCTAAATGATTTTTTAATAACTCTTCCGTTCAATAATTCTTGGTTTTCTTGTTATTGGGTTTCTAAATGTCTACCATGGTTTTTGTATCTATTATTATTTTTCGTTCTTGTGACAAATTTCATAGGTAATTCTTTCTTTGTCTAAATAGGTTTGTAAAGGCTTGGTCTCTGTTAGTTTAAAAATATAAGAAGCACCTTAAATACTTCTGATTGTGCTGTAATTCTTGGGTTCCATGGTGGATGTGATGTAAATAAATTTCATATTTATATTTTTTCTATAAGAGATAATCTTATATTAATCATATTATAGTTTATATTTATCACATTCTGGTATGAACAAGTATATAAGATATGAACAAGCACTATTATTACTTATACTTTCAAAATGTGGCGTTCACGTGTCTGACAGAAGCAAAAGAAGAAGTGATATTGAAAAATCAATTGAGAAGACAAAAAATGATTATCAAAACTACTTTCATAACGGCATTCGCATATACAAGCTTCCTTCTGCGTTATCAGAGAAATATGACTTATTTACCCCATAGTCAGTTTAAAAGCCAACGCATATCGCTCTAGAATGCCATCTTCCTTGCTCGTTACACAAATGATAGTCTATTCTTCCATAGCTCCCTTGACGTATTGTACTCCGTTTGCAAGGCTAAACAAAACTGGTTATAGTCATGTTTTTTACCCACGAGAGTTTACAATCAGTGGACTACCCTCAGATGGGACGTAATATCCATGTTATGATTCAGACATACATTACTTAAGAGATTGTACAATGAGCGGCGCTAAAAGTATTCCCCAAATTGCATGTCCATGCGGCAAGACCAGATATAGACAAACTCAAATCAGTCCTTCCCTATTTCGAATCGCTTACGGCATTAAGCGCGTATTACACGAAAAGCCTGCTAATAATGCATTCTTCAACCGTCTCATTCATCGCCTAACAATAACTCATCGGGCCGTAGTCACAACAACCAACAAAGACTATCTCGCCTCGATGGTCAAGACAAATATATCGGAGTGCATATTCGAGGCGCTGAGTGTACAAAAATTAAAGCCTGACTTGTTTTTACACCCATTCTTTCTTTAACTGAAATTTGCCTCCAACCTTCGTATTCTTATATCTCAACTTCGTACTGACTATCTTCTCCAGAAAGAATACCTCAATACCAAAATGTCTGTCAGAAGCTGCCGTTGAAGCCGTTCCTGAATCTGATGCTAGTCGTTTCTTAGGGGGCATTTTTGTTGGGACCCCCGGGAGCACGTTCAGCGCATTTGCTGAAAGGATGCACGAAACTTTGGTTAAACAGGATATGAAGATTAGGATTGACAATAAGGGCTATATACTACATCATACCGCTGTTGACCACACTCGGAAAAACATACCATACAGGTTGTGACAGTCTGTATTTAAAACTTTTACGATCATGGTTCTTGTGAATAACAGACGTTTTAAGTAATAAAGACTGATAACAAATTATCATTTTCCCTTTTCAATATTGGATTTTACATGGTTGTAATTCTGACGTCAAAGGGATAAAGCATTAAAACATTAACGTTAATTAAGTTATTTTTTGTCTTAGCACCGAGTAGAATTGAATAAAATGTTTAACTGTTAAAAATGGAATGGTCACTTGTTTGTGATCGGAAAGCTATTTATAGAACGAATTTAACTGTCATTATTTCCCAACTCTAAGTCATTAATCTCCCACAGTTGACCTAGTATTAGAAGTATCATATTATTTATGTTCTTTCTTTTATAGATATAATCATTTATGGAGTTTCCCGTAGATGTTTTAAGCGCACTTCCTGATACAATTTCTGTGATAAAGCCAAGGGACTTGGTCTTCGTCCGTGGCGAGAGCGAGTATGAATCAGCTATCAATATTTGTACTTTTGTTTATTGTCCTTACGATTAATCATGATCCTATAATTGTTGAAGAAAACAGAAAAGCTTGCGCTTGATTATCGATGCTATGGGCGAGGCCTCTGCTGCAGTAGGTTTATCAGTTTTGTGGTTTGGAGATGTTTATTTTTTCACTATGTTAATATTTTCCCGTTTAACTCCAACAGGCTCAGGATCTTAAAACTATCATTACGACCACTCACAAGTTCAAAGAATCGAAGCATCACTTGTATGTGATCAAAGACCAGCAGAACACTTACGTTGTCGGAATTTTGAAGGTTGGCAGAAAGAAATTGTTTTTGGTGGTATGTTGTTTGCTTGCAATAGTTATTGCTAATTTTGTTCACTGTTAATGCGGTATCTAAAGTATTGGATAATTTATACGATTTCAACAGGAAGAAGAAGGCATTCAATACGAAGTCGAACCGCTTTGTATTCTCGATTTCTATGTACACGAAAATTGTCAACGTTTAGGATACGGGAAGAAAATATTCGAAACTATGCTAGAAAACGAAAACGTAGAGCCCCACAATCTAGCATATGACAGACCATCTGAAAAGTTCATGTCTTTTTTAAAGAAATATTATAATCTTGCAAATTACACGCCACAACCGAATAACTTTGTTGTATTTCGAGAATATGAATTCCAAGGTGAAGAAGAATTGAAAATGTGCCAAGGACGATTATTCCCAAGAGCCATTTTAATTGTACACGTTCAACGCATCATCCATTCTATTCTAACGTATTTTGTTGTCATTTAGAGTTAGACAAATCTCCTTCAAAGGCGGCAAGACGACTATCCCAACCATATGACGATTGTACCACTCCCCGTAGCAGAACCATGCCTCGCCACGGTCGTTGTTCTTCATTGCCCGTCTCGCCACAATCTACAAGTGCGTCTTATGCTTCTGTTTCGGCGACTACGTTAACTGCACCGCCAACAGAGTCTTATATCCAGGCAAAACGTAACATTATCAACCTCAACCAAGAATATAGGCGCCAGATGCTTTACGGAAGTAATCCTTTGGTATGAAGGAGGATGAATAAACTGTCTATTTCCTGCCGGTCAGGAAATGAAAAATTTTAACGATCGAGAAAATAGAGTTTAGATCTGAAAGTTGGAATTAAAATTATGTGTAAATGTAGTAGTGAAAATTGGATCTCCCGTATTGTTGAAATTCAACGAATCAAAGTTAAAAACAGAGCATATTTATCAAGAATATAATTGTTCTTGCCTCCGAAGATAATGTTGATGAAGAATTAAGAAGAGAAAAAATTAATAGAACAAATGAAAGTATACGAGCGAGAAGGAGAGCTATTAGAGGGAATTGGGAGCATGAATCAGTCAATGTATATAAAAGAGATTCTGTCTAAGAGAAGAAGGAATCTTGGAAATTAACCATGTGGATCATTTGTCGAGCGTAAGGACAGGCACGAACGCTTATTCAGATTACAGATCCAACGGTTCAATATCAAATCTGGCGCTAGTAGCAGACTCACCGGAAAGACTGCCATTTAATATTTACGCAATTTTGCCCGATTTCTTGCACCGTATTATGGAGTGATGCGTTAAACGTTTAGAGATGGAAGAATCCCCTTTAATATTAAACGCTTTACCAATTATCAGCATCGCGTTTCAATGAGCAAAAAGATCGAAGTAGTCCCCGACACGCGTTCTATATCTCTTATATGTTTACGTAATTAATATTTTATTATATACGAGGTTTTATCATAAAACAAATAAGAATCAGAAGATGTGAACATGCAAAAGCTTTACTTGGCTACATGGTAGCTCCTTTATTATTATCGTTAAGACCAGCAATGAATTTTATTGTACTGTTATTATTATATCGATCGTACGCCAAACGGAATTCTCACGCATACTTTTTCACACATTCAAATAATGCAAGTGTTTTTTCTGAATTAGACTCTTACCAGAATTTCATTGCTCTTTTTTTTTTCAGTCTGTGTCCGCAAGAATTAAGAGCTAGGTCATTTGCAAGATGACGACGTTTATTAGAAGAGTGTTTAGGGTCTTGCAGAACGTAGTTATGGTATCGATATCAAGCGGAATAGACATTAATTCGTGCAAAGTATAGACATAGTTTGTTCATAGATCGGTATTTTCAGCAAGCCGAAATAATCGCAACGAAGTATAAAACCATGTAGTCGTTTTCCTATAAATATAGAGCGTTAGACGGCTTTTTTGATTACGCGTGTATTTCGGAAAGGGATAGTGTTATTTGACACTTCATTCATATTCCGTAGTTCTTCTCGTGTACTGTAATTCAATGAAGGCGACATCTGACTCGCGCTGGGGACCTACACTGCTCGAATGATTAGTACGTAATGTTCGTTCTGCAATCGTGACGTTGATTAAAAATAAATTCCTGTAGGAGAATTAATAGTGAATATGGTTAAAATTAATTTCTAAATCAAACTTATTAATCTACATAGAGAATCTCGATATACGCTTTTGTATGAATTGATTCCGTAAACGTAACAGTCATCGTCTGGTTGTTAAAACTTGATTCTGACCAATAAATGCGTCGTAGATTTTCTCTAGCACATCTAATGGTATGTAGTGAAAGGACACGAATATTTTCGATCGCACAATATTGTCATATTAGTAGTGGCTTAATATCAAATCTTAATCTTCCGGTCCCTGCAGACCGCGGTTTACAATTTACTCGGTAGCCAACAGCATTGATAGTTCTCAGGGTTTCAAATTATTTAAAACAAATTGGAATTAATTAAACGTTTAGTGTAAAAGATCCAAAATGGCTTGGTTTTTCCTCAATCGACAGAATAAAGTAATAAATTAAAAATCAAATTCTCCCCGAAATTGATTAATGTCAAAGTCGGCGACGACCTTGTTAGCTAGATCTTCTCGATCCTATATTCAAACGGATTATATTTTGTTTACTAGAAGTTACAACAAATAATAAAAATTTGCAACTTAATCTACTTACCATCATCCTGAACGTTTTCCGAAGCGTGTCTCGGAGACTTCGACTAACATTCACACCTCCATTCTTATCAACAATAGTCTCGTGCATACTCAACGCCCCCAATAGATGTTCAGTTGCCTCTTTATAACACCCAATATTAATGCAACTAACTCCAAGATTGTAACGTGCTCTAACAAAGGTAGGTTTCAAATCAAGTGCTTTATAGTAAGCGTCTATTGCTTGTTCGGAGCGACCCGAATTTGCCAGAGTAGCACCCAAACGATTCCATAATAAATGATCTTTCGGTCGACTATCTAAGGCAGCGCGAAAGCAGTCCACAGCCTTATCGTAGTCACTGTTACTATAGAAGAGAACGCCGAGTCCAACTTGCACGTCAGGATCCATCTCTTGTCCAGAAGGCGCAATGCGAGCAGCCTGAAGAAACAATTCGGTTACACGTGAATGTGCATTCTGGTGTATGTCTGTGGGTATTGATCGTTCCGCTATTTCGGGATACTTGACTGTCATCCATCGCTCAAGAGTAAGATATGATTGATAGTCGTAGCCTTCATTCGTATAACTCACTGCAAGGTTCTATGAAAATGTGTTAGTAGAATTACCATCAGAACTTGGAAACATTTTATCCTCACCATCAGTGCGTTCAAATTTTTTCCATCAATTGAAACAGCCTTTTCTAAGGCTTTTATTGCAGGCTCCTCCTTCTCGTTCTGTGCTTGCGTGTTACCTAGCCATGTCCAGACTTCCGAATTATTCGGATCTTTCTGGGCGGCAGCCTCAAAAGCTAGTGCTGCATCTGATAGTGAACCTCCTTCCTCCACCAGCCTAATTCCCTCATTTAATGGATCAGGATGCCCTTGATAAGGATTATTTGGTTCGAAAACATATTCTCCGAGATTTGCCGACTCATCATGTTCACTGAATTCAGGAAATTCTTTCTCCCATGACAAAGGCTCAGGTGGATCGTCTAAATGAGATTCTCTAACATTTGACCAAACCTCTTCAAATAATTTGTGGTCTTCTCTAGTAAGCTCTTCTTCAAAGGATTCAGCCTGAACGTCTTCAGCTTCACGTTGTGCTGCAGCAAACTGTTCCTCCCAAGATACATTATCTAATTCAACTATTTTACTTTTGCCTTTATCGTGTTTAAGTGCGTATTGGCTAGACCAATCAAAATGTTTTCGAAACGCTTCTTCAAATTCAGGAGGCATTGCTACAGACTGTAAGGCTGGCATGTGAGAGTGATTCTCGAATTCAGCTCGCCATGAGGCTATCGAATGCAAAAATAAGGGATCATTACAAATAAAAAATAAAAAACAACCCGAGAAAGGTTAATCAATAGTAAAAACAGATTCTGTTACCTCCGACATTCATGCGTTTAAATGCCTCTTCCATTTTGGCGTGTTCGGCCGCAGTAATTGCGCTGTCGAACTCTGTTACCCATTCTACGGTCGTATTTAGCGAGAATTAGAGCTCTTGAAAGAATTCTGTTTACAACAATGCATATTACGTATTTCTAAAAAGTCTTTACCTGGGTGCGCAAGTTGGTGTCGTTGATTCTCAATTACATGCAGAGAATGAGGTGCATCTACGGAAACTATTTGACCATGATCGCGCTGATCAAAAAAGTCGTTGGCGAACTGTAATATACAATAGAATGTCAGTTATGTTTAAAATTCTCATAATTATCCCAGTCGCAGCGTTTACCTTGTTCTCGCCGGCGAGCTCTTGTTTAACTGTGCGGAACTATCATGATGACGGTTAATACAAAACATTTCTCCTTACACAACGGCTAGAAATGGGTCGTTCGAGGGTAGCTGCGATAGTAAATTTCCTTACCGTGCTAGGTCCAACGGAATCTCTCGCAGGTATGAAAGCGTCCTACGGACATTCTTACAGTTATTCGAAGGTATGCAGACAAAACTCTCTAATGCACCCGCCCTCACCCAAATGTGTGCACTATGCTTTTTCCTCTAACACATTCGAAATCACGCAGAGCGCTTTAAGTACGTAATTGCACACGCCCTGATTCCAAGGCAGCGCATTTCCTATATCATTCGTAACTACCTTCTGAAGTGATCGATCTTCGTTAAACTGTTTCATTATCTGCGTCATAGGATTGGCACCAGAGGAGCATTCTGCTCCTGTGACTATGCTTTGGAATGCCATGTTATTGTATATTGTACACTACACTTTTCGTTCAGAGAAGGCTGATCTGTTTGTAAATGCATTTAATGACTTCATCATGTGACCACGTGAAAGAAATTATCGAAACTTAATTAGTTGAATAACTTTTTTTGGAATTTTTCAACTATTACCATACTGAAAACTTTCACATTCCCATAGTACCAATAATATAGTAAACAAAACTCTAAGATTAAATTTTTTTGTCTAAACTAACATTAAATATCTATGTAAAACTCGATAACTCAGTACGAATTGAAACCCGTCATGTTGGAGTTCACACTATATGCTGAAGCACCAGTGAATTGAGGTGCAATCCTACATGAATGGAAGACGAATTAGACCATCAATACACGTACATTCATAGGCAAATTCAGTCATTCATTCTTTATAAGAACGCTCACCCTTGGCCAGCTCCTTGCGTGAGGAGTCGTTGATTACCCAAAGCAAGAGGGATAACCGGTGTTTCTAAATAAAAAGTGCATGAGTCTATCATCGTCATATTAAAATTATGACAAGAAAAGGTGTTTTCATGATATCTACTCACCACTCTCAATCTTCTCCCTATTTTCTTCTTTTTCCGCCAATTCAGAAACACTTTTCTCCAAAAAGTTGATCTATAAAGAATAATCATTTAAATCACATCACAACATGACAGTACCTTGCATGCGTAATAATAGCGTACCTTCTCCATAGCGCCTCTTAGTGATTGAATCATATACGGCATAGCAAAATCCATCTTCTTGTGCCTCCATGCATTCTCCAATACAACGTCAGGCCTTACAAGATCATAGCACGCGTACAGGCATGCCGTGAAATCTTCTTCATTACCGATCTGCAAGAAATACAGCATCAACTCCTCTGCAACTTCAGTTGATCGTGACATACTCGCAGTCACGATCGCGTCGTCCCAGATACGATCTTCCTTTGATAATGCGATTGACTTGCTCCAACGTTTATTCTTGCGGAAGATGTGAGCAGCAATCCTACGAAATTCAATACGTTCATGCTTTTCGAGTCGTGACGCTAGTTTGAAATTATCAAAATTATCAAAATTGTCAATCGAATCGCGAAGTGCTGTGTATTCGCCTTCTTCTATGGCAAGGTCATTGTATGCCTCGTTGACGGCTTCGATATTTTCCTACAAGAAATGAAACGCGATGAAAAATTACAAGCTTTGGAGGATTAAAAGTGTGTTGCAAAGAAAAATGAATGAACGACTGACCTTTTGAACAGATATCAAGTAAGATTTGATCAATGGCACATTGTCAGACTTTTCAAACATTTTAACCACCCGAGTATGATCGACTCGAGGCGTCAAGGCAACAAGTAAATCGTTCAATAATAATGGATGCTCATCCAAATAGAATTTCAGCGCCTTTTGTGGATGATATTAAATTTCAATTAATGTTACTATACAATAGAAAAAATGAGGGCTACAGAGATTCGTTATACATATCTTATTTACCTTGTAGTAGATCTCAAGATTTCCAACTTTGACAATTAAAGTCTTGAAATGATCATGATCCCAAGCATCGGCAGAATGTTCCATCATTGACAGAGCTGCGTTATCAAACTCTTCGTAATTTTCATATAGGAATACCATCTCTTTCCATAGACAAGCGTTCTCACAGCCACGAATAACTTTAGGTATATTAAGGCGTTGCCAGAAAAGACGTAAATGCTCGTCTGTTTTCTCGGGTCGATATTTGGTGTATAGAACTGCTAATTCGGTGAACATTCCCATATGCGCTCGTTCTAAACCCAGACCAGCTTCGAGGAGTGAGAATAGTTCCTCGATATGACCTCCGCGCTCATAGCTACGAATTACAGCCTAGAAGGAAATAATTGGTAAACAAAATGTCTATGTTGCACTATTCAGGATGACGCAGTATACCTACCTCAAGTTCTTCCGCGTGAACTATCAGATTTAGGCCGCATATATGAGCTAATCGAAGCTTGTCATGCTTGAGACAAGCCTTGTGAACATCTTTCCAAACCCTAATTACCACAATGTACGTTGGTCAAATCAAAATTCGTACTAATGTATTTCATTCGGAACCAAGAGTTTAGAACATACTTTGTATTGCCAGCCTTGCGAGCACCGTCAACTGCAGCCTGATACTCGCCTAGATGAACCAAAGTGGAAGCTAACCGAGCCCAATTAGAAATACTCGAAAACAAACTCTTGGCAGCCTGATACAACTCGTGTTCGTAACACCGCTCGCCAACAATTTGGATCTGAGCAACATTGGGCTGTTTGAGGAATTCCTCGAGATCCGAGTATCTTTCAGTCTTCGCGTAGGCAAAAAGAAGTTCACTGTCCACCATTGGTTCGCGTACTTTCTTACGGCACATCTGTAAGTAACGCACGAGGTCTTCAAATTTTCCTGCGCGGGAAGAGTAGTCGATCACTTCTTGGAAATTGCTTGGATCATCGGCGCGGATATACGAGTCTTGAATGAAATAGAAATAAAACAATTATTACAATATTTTAGTGATTAGCGCAGACAGATTCCAAATGGACAATTCTCATAATATGATAAAGTACCAATGGAATCCCTAATTCGTAATCCTGCCAATTGAGCCTTAGCCACGAGGCTCCACACTTCTGATGTATCGGCACGCTCTGCATATTCAACAGCACGATCAATACTAGCAATATGCTCAATTAAGGTATTGACGGCCTCTATATGCATCTCTTGTTTCTTATAAATAAGGAAAGCTTCTTCGTATAGCTGGGCGTTGATAGCAATCTCCGCAATGTTGGTTGCGTTGTAGTTGTTGAGCCTATTTATCAAGTCTGTCACTCGAGCTCTATCCGCCTACAGTTAAATAAGAATTGTGAAACAAGTTCCTGAAATTTTGTACAAAGTCAGTGTGGTTTACCTTTATAGCAGTAAGGATGAGCAAATTCTGCAGATTTGTATGGTCACTGAAAGCTGTTTGTTCCAATACTAATTTACTCAATAATGCCATCAATTCTATTGGTAAATCAGCTTCCATGAAGGCCTTTACTGTTGTAGCAACTTCCTCCGGATCTGACGTCTCAGGAAGAACTGTTGCGTTAATCTAGACAAATACATCATCAGTTAGTATTGCTCTTAGTTTATGTTTACAATACGTCATTCGAATTACTTTCTCCATAATCCAGTAAACAATTTTATATTAAACTTACCTGGTCAATCAAAGCCCTACGATGCATGTTGTTGTCGTCCAACACTTTCTTCCACAGTTCAAGCTCTCGTCGTTTCACAAGATATCGCGCTTGATGCTTAAACATCTGGTTCTCATTTGTTACCTTGATTAAGTCGTCATCGCATTGACCACGTTGATAAGCGATGAAAGCAAGGTATGGATCTCGTTTTTCACAATATTTTCCAACGACAAGTGAGTTGTAGTACTGTTAGATGAATAGCCAGTCGACGCAAAACGCAGTTAATATTAAAAAGTAAAACGTTGAAATCAAACTAAATATACAATGTTAGATCGACAAACCGGGTTTTCCTTGAGGAATGCTTCAGGATTATTATTACTATCAATGTAAATCTTCGCCAACGCATTATATACAGCCGGATCTGTACTGCCCTCATTGACACGTAATTGCAACCACGGCAATATTAACTTTAGCCTGTTTCTATTTTCCACTTCTTCCACCAACTCATCGACAGGCACAGGACCGGTGACTGACAAGAGGAGATTTTTGATTACATTCTCGTCACAGTCCACATCCAGCAAACCCCCAATGACGGCAGGAGTGCGGGCTGAATTTACCCGCTGGACGTACTCCGCAACGTATTTGGTGAGACCTTGTTGGTGGAGGAAAAGCACGAGATCATGAACAAAGTTGAAACGGTCGCAAACTATAATTAATGGGAGTTGGTCGGGTAGTTTTGCTTCCTGGTAATACATAAGTATGTGTAAATTTATTTAATAGCGTGTTGCATAAATTGTGACCTATGCACTTCTGAAGCGAATTTTTAAAAGCCTTAATACCTTGAGGAAATTTTTCACTTTCTCTGGATCATAAAAGTTACTCTCCCGACAAATGCGTTCGACTTCTTTAAGTTGACCAACTTTTACTCCGGCCTGTATATACTTGAAATGCACGTCAGGATCTTGACTAAGGTTCACAATAGATCCCAAATAGTAGTAAAGACCTGTCGAATGTAGAAAGTTATGGTTACCATTCATGCGATGCTATGTTTATACTTAAGGACCGACATCCACTTTGTTACCTTCATATGTCTTGAATGATTCAAACAGTTCTATTAGCTTGAGCGGCCCTATTAACTCCGAATATTTTGTCGCAATTTGCACGACAACTTGAAGGTTCTCCCGTATATTTGTTTTTAGCATCGCGGTCATACATTCGAGAGTCTGGTCTACCGTTAATTTGCCAAAGAAATTGACTACCCACTAGAATTATGATATAAAGTAAGTCGCAAAATTTATAATCAAGAACTATTACAAGTTATATTAAATACCTCTCGATTCAACCCTTGTGCATGGACAATGACGCGCTTGATATCATTTATGTCATCATAATGTTCTAACGCCTAACGTAAAATCGATACGGGTACGAGTCAGTATTCAGCTCATAAACATTGGCACATAGATAACGAAATAAGACGCACTCTCTGATATAAACCGGCTTTTTCGCATAAATTAGCAATAGTCGCTCGATCGTAATGAGAGAATCTCAAGTTGGATAGAATAGCGTCAGCCACTTGAGGAGCATGCATAAGATTCATTTCAAGAAGACGCGTCTGCAGGTGTCCATATTCCGCCGTATCTTTGTCTTGTAATACATCTAACAAGAATGAAGTAACTTGTTGGATAAGATTTTGCGACATGAATATATCAACAATCTATACAATTAAGAACATAGTAAGTACGACAGCTAGAATAGTACAACGCATAATTATTATCGAGTTTTTCATACTCGTTCGATGTCGGCAAGAGAAGTCCCTTGATTCTCAACCAATGTTTTTGCAAACGCAGCGCCCTTGTCTGGATCGCGACGCATTATCAATTGTAAAATTTGCGTGTAGTCAGGCTGGAAGTTGACCGATTGCGCATAACTCGTAATACGGTCGTACTTTCCGAGATCGATTAAGCATTCAATAACCTAGAACGCAATCGAACCACAGAGTCGTTAATGTGATATGACAAACGAGGAATTTCGTACCACCGTTGGTAGTGCCATGTCGGTATTAAAAATTCAATGCAACAGAACTCGAATACCTTGGAATGTTTATTGGCATTATGATATACTTTAACTGCTGTCTGTGGATCATGTGGCCGTAGAACATCACCTAATTCTTCGCTGCTCGTTAACTGGACTCGGGAGTTTATTGTAATAAGTACTTGCTATTTATATAATCGATGCAAAAAGCTAGCCAGGATCCGATTGCCCACCTTTTCTTGTTCCAAGTATTGTTTCATAATCTGAATTTTCCCAGTCTGGGCGGCAATATTAGCGAGTGCTACTGATTCGTACTGATTAAGAGGGTGCTTATGTATTATAGTAGAGAAGTACTTTATAATAGGTTGTGGTTGTCCGGCAACTGTTGGTTGTAGCGTCTTGAGCCGATCAACAACGGCTTGAGTACGAAGAAAGCCCTAACATTTAGAAGTTCTACTATCAATAACTAATGATAATATATACAGTAAATTGTTGGTTCTATGACAAATGATACCAGTCTGTTCTTACCTTGGGTGACTTTGCAGCCATGACAACAGCGTTTTCATAGTCTCCGGCGTTGTAAAGGGACATGAACTTCTCGGTGTATAGACGTTCGATACCAGCTAGATCGTGACGAATAGCCAGACGTATTGCAAGATCAGGCTTTCCGAGGATTTCTGCAATGTATCGTAATAGTATAGAATCGTCTATCGTCACTGAGAATACCTGAAAACAGATCAGGATAAATAACTAGCTATTACGATCTAAACATCATTATCGCTATTTTCATACCTGTCCACCTTTATTAACAGCAAGCAGTCCATTACTCTCCTGTGGCTCACCAAATCTAAATATCGATTCCATACTAATCCTATTCATGTAGATACAAGTCTGGGATTCCACTTCATATAAGTGAATGTATCCAAACTTGGTAGCAAGCAAAAATAGTCCATATTTCTTGCTAAACGTCAAATTAACAGGGTAGTCTGTTGCTGCATCGTCGGGGAAAAACACCGGAATGTCATTACAGTGCTTAGCAAGGGCTCCATTTGGAGCTTGGATAGTTTCGATTATACGAAGCTGTTGGTCATGTAAATTAAAGTGTTATGGTATATATCGTGGCAAAAGTGCAGAAACAGTTTGCGGGTCACGTATATGATGTGATTCGCTATTTCAAATACTTTTTCGAGCTTACCATTCCTGCACCCGGATTATTTCTTGAGGCAACTACAATCAACGGTGCCTCGACATCAACTCCATTTACTTCTTTAGTCAATACAGCAAAGGCAGCTGCATTTCCATCCAATTCTTGACTGACTTTATATTGACTGTTCCATAACTGCATTTTCCCAACTACTCTTTGAGTTCCGGGAGTATGCTATTGAAAAAGCACGCGAATAGGCACGATGATGCTCATATTCAGTAATCGTACCCAAAAAGAAACATATACTTTCGTTTATTTAGTGCCATTACCTCATCTGACAATTTAATTCCAATAACAGCCGCCCATGTAATTGTATCGTTAACAGCATAATCAATAATCTGAGTTCCATTCAAACAGGGGTATCTGTCAAACATTTTTTGTGGTGCTTCAGCATCAACTTTCCAGTGATAAACCGAATTTCTTGTTATGATTGCCAAAGTCGTGTCATCAAGCCATTTCCAGAATTCGAATTCAAATTCATCCTTCGCTTCGTGAGCTCCAGTCTTGCTTTGGGTTTCGAGATTAAAGAGTTGGAGCGTTTGTTTTGCTTATGGACGAACCGGTACAAAATCGAGCAGAAATTGAAGTGAGTAAAGTGGGATACAGTGTAATAATAACGCGTAAGTCAACATAAATAAGGTCAGCATAGAATCGATACGTAATATTTTGCTAGAAATGCAACCATAAAACGCGATTGACATATGATCTAAACCTTTGTACGAAAACCCAATTTCGCCTTTATATTCACCTTTCAACGCCAAAAAACGTCCATTAGGACTCATAATAACTTGCTCAGCCGTCATATCATGCTTCCTCACATTACTCGTATTATGAAGATCTATCATCACCACCTGGAAACGTCCGTCCGGTTTTGTATTGCGAACGGTTATATAGAGGTCTGATGCAAAACTGCAGCTTCTGAAGCCAATGGCTTCTTTTGCAATGCCGTGGTCAGATAACTATCATGCAGTAAATACACACGTTATGTATGAATATGTGACTGTAACAAGATTACTTTAATCGAGTTCTTTACGGTTGATAATTTATATTTATCCAACCTTAAGTCGCTCTTGTAGAATTATAGGTATCATATCAGTCGTAGCTGCAGCCGATGGAGCTGCCATATTCAGTTCTTTAATGTTTCGTTAAGTATAGTAAGGGAAAACTTGTAAACTTTGACAGTTACGGTCTTGCAAATAGTAATACTGCAACAAAAACCGCGCAATGGCAAAAATTTTCGTTCGTTGAACAACCAATTTCCATTGGCTGGAAGTTGAAACGTCATTCATTCTTATTTAGTATTAGTATGCTAAAGTAATAGAATGTCCCTGATGCTGGACCTTGATCGAACCCCTTTTTCCTTTTCTTGGAAAGTTGTGATATTCATAGGTGCCACGCTTTACAATGGATTTGGATATTGGGATTGGGAATCTTTCGCAGATAAAAAAATTTGGCTTGCATGCCGATATATAAATTTAACATGAATATTTGACGATTACACGTCAAAACTGGAATTTCGCTTATTAACGAGATTTATTCAGTTTTGAACAAGTTTAGATCCCTGATGTCCAAATGTGGTGATGATGAATAAACTTTCTATTATTACAATATTTTTTCCTCTAGAGTAGCAAGTTCCTTGTCTGCAGCCCATTTCTGTCAGTTTTTGGTCATAGTGAAATGGAAGTAGTAATCGACATTTAGTGTAGTATTGTCGTACAGTGCAGTGAAATCTCCCTAACGGAGTGTCTATGTGACTATAATTGAGAGCGGGCATACGATTTTGGGGACAAATTAGTCATGAACTCCAAAGTTTTTTAATAAAACCCTATTCATAGTTTATTATAATTAAAAATCTAAAACAAATAAATGTATTGCAGCGTTGACAAAAAAAGAACGTACAGTAAAAAATTTTTATTTAAGTCTATTAGAAACTGAGGAATAATGTACGTCGTGCGCTGGCTTGAGGGATAGCCATATGTTGGAGCATGGCCTCTCCGATTATTAATGTCTTTTAATAGGTTTACAATGCGCACACAATGCAATTTTACTGGTGACTAAATTCAAGAATGTGCGTATCTCTGACTATCCGTATTTTAACTGTACAAGTGATTTAATCGAGATGTTACACATATTGCTAATCTTACCAAATTTGGCTCTAAAAAAGTTTTCAATTCTTAATATTAATTAATATATTAGATTAAAAAATTTTCTGTGGTTTCTGCAAAGTAAATTTGAGCCTAAAAATTTTTCTTTTTTTTTTCAGTAACATGTCATTAACATGCTCTAGACAAGGTTTATTAATATTAATTTTGTATTTTACATAAAATAATAATATTATTCTTCTTATTTTAAAATATGGGGCATGCTGCAACAAAACCAGACTGATTATGATGTGACTGTAAAATTGACCAGTGTGACTGATGACATTTTGAAGTAAGAATGGTGCTTATGGACTTGTTAATTTTAGTGCTCACTTTATCATACCAGAAGGTGATGAATATAAACCATAATGTGATTAATATTAATATAGGATTACCTCTATATATAAAAAATATATATGGGGCAGACTGCAACAAAACCAGACAAAGTGAACATTTGATCATGTGACATAAATGAGAGGCTGATTATGATGTGGCTTTAAAATTGACCAGTACAACTGATGGCGTTTTTTTAATTTTCACTTTATCATACCAGAAGGTGAGGAATATAAACCATAACAGGAGTAATATAGGATTACCTCTATAT